CCCACCGATGGTGGTTTTGGAGCCGATGCAGCCCATGCTCCCGGGGGGGCCCCGGTGCGGGCACTACCGCCGGCTCCGCGCCGCCCACATCGCCCCCCGGCCGCATGGGCGGCCCCGGACAGCGCCCGTGCCCCGCCGGAGCCGCTGCCGAGCCGGGCCGGGCCGGGCCGCGGTACCGAAGCCCCCAGCAGCACCGGAGCCGCCAGCGGTGCCTGCGCCGGGCCGGGAGCAGCACGTCCAGAGACGTCACTGCTGGGGGAGGAAGAGGAGGGAGAGGGGGAGGCGGGAAGAAGAGGAGGAGGAAAAGGAGGAGAATGTGCGGGAGGAAGGCTGAGAAAGAGAAGTCGGAGGGGGATGAAGGATGAGGGAGAGGGAGGAAGGGGAGAACGGGGGAGAGGGAGGCCGGGAGGAAGAGGAGGAAGGGGAGATGAGGAGAGAGTGGAAGGGGGGATGAAGGCAGCCGGGGAGGATGAAGGAAGAGGGGGGCTGAAGGAAGAGGAAGAGGGGGATGGAGGAAGAGGAGGGGGCGCGGAGAGGAGGAGGATGTACGGAGGAAGAGGAGGGGGCTGAGGAGGAGGGGAAGAAGGCCGGCCACCGCGGAGAGCGCCGTGCCAGCACCGCGGACAGCGCCGCCCCGCCCGGCCCGGGTACACCCCCCGGGGGGGGGGACAAGAAACAGGGCACCCCTCAACCCCAGACCTGCCTGCCCCTACCCGCCCCCGAGGGTCTGGTGAGGCGGGAGGGAGCACACAGCCTCTGGCACAGCCTCCCACCCCCGTGGAGCTGGGATGGGGACAGGTGGGTGCAGGCTTCGGAGCATCACGTCTGACACAACGGCCCCTGCCGGAGATCCAGGCCAGCGCTGATGGCCAGGCTGATGGGTCAACCCGTGTTCATTCTGAAATCCACTGATGGCAATTAGTGCTGTGGTACCTTTTCCCTGGCACAGGAGGGCACTGCTGCTGTGCCACCCTCTCTGTCGCCTGGGAAGCAGGTTACCCAAACAGCTCAAAGGGTCTCCCTCCCTCCTTACTCATTCCCAGTCATGGGGAGTTCCTGCCCAGTCTCCATCCCAAGGCCTTTCGCTGCCAACTGCTTCCCAGCATTAGTGATGCCAGGGCTGCAGCTCAGACAGATCAGCCTCTAATCTGGGGAACAGCCTCCGGTTAATTACTCTGTACCCTCTGGGCCACGGCCAGGGTGACTCAGCAAGAGGCAGCCCAAGGAAGCAAAGACCAGCCTCCAGCCCCAAGGGGGACCAGCCTCTGTCCCCAGCAGGGATATCCCACAGGGGAACCCCAGGAGGAGCCAGCTGTGCCCCATCTCCACTCCAACTGCAAGACAAGGCCAGGAGGGGGCTGATGGAAAAATGCCCTCCCACACTGGAAGGTGTAGGGGGAACCTGGCACACATCTCCCATCTCCTCCCTGAGGAGACCACGGTGGTTCCACCACTCATGACTGTGGGAAAAGGGACAACTGGGGAGATCAGGGCTCTGCTCCACAGCGGGAAGGGCTGTCTGTTCCACCTCCAAAGACCCTGTGCCAGGTAGTGCCAGCAAGAGGAGTCCAGGGGGCCTGGCTCCAGGCACATCCAACCCCTTTGCCACCCTTCCAGCCCTGGAGTGGGGGGTACCTACCTGCCTTGCAGTGACAGGGGAGACTGGTCCTTGCCCATGCTCAAGGCTGGCACCCCCACACCAGCCCAGGCACAAGGGACATGGGAGGGTGGGGCGGCAACAGCGGCACACGGGGCATTATTTAGCAATGTTCTTTTATTTCCAGTTTTAAGGTGAAAAGATGCCTTTAAATCTTCAATTAAATACTCCATAAAGAAAAAAAAAAAAAAAGAAAAAAAAATTATTTACAAATTCACGTGACCAGTAATTGAATCCTTGTTTTAATAATTACACATGCGGCTCGTCACATCCGGCGCTCTATAAATACAGGGGACGCGGATGAGGGGGCCGCCCTGTCACTTGCCCAATTGTGGCCTTAAACGTTTGGGAAGAGGATGAGGGCTTTTGGGGTCATGAAGGGGACTCAGCCTGGCCCAGAGAGGAGGGGCCACCCCCCCTCCTCCCCGGCACCCTCCCCAGGTGTCAGAGCAGGAGCTGGGGGGGGGGAATGATTTATATTTAAAATTTAAAAACCATACAGGGGAGTGGGTCCAGGCAGTGATGGAGGAATAGAGAGAGGACAGGGGAGGGGAAGAAATCACGCTCCTGTCCCCAAACCAAATTTAATAAGTTTATATATATATAATCTCTCTATATTTCATCAAGAAGGGGAGAGGAGAAAGAAGGAGGGAGAAGAGGGGAGAGTTATGTCCCCATCCCATCCCCCCCTCTCCATGACATGAATCCAGGGGTGCTCTGCCCCACTCCCAGAGACCCAGTGTGCCTGCGCTGGGAGGGGGGCGAGGAGGGTCCCCAAGGGGACCCATGGCAGCCACCGCCTCAGTCAGCATCTGTTTATTATCATCATGACAAACTCGTACAGGCCTTACAAACAGAACCAGGGCAGAGGAAGAAGAGAGAGGAGAACTGAAAAAAAGAGAGAGAGGGGCTGCAAGGGGCACAGCAGGTCCCTCTACCCTGGCATCAGCAAGTCCATGGGGGCCAGGGATGGGAAGGGATGGAGTCACTCCCTAGGGTGCCCCCGGCTCTCTCTCCCCTCTTCCTCCTCCTCCTCATAGCTGCTCAGTTGTTGTCTGACTCATCCTCAGCTTCCCGGAGCCAGGTGAAAAAGGCTGTCACCGATTTGAGAGCCACCCCTTTGCCCTGCTGCTCGGCTGGGTCCTTGCTGGACTCCCACTTGTAGAAAGCCTCCTCCTTGATGACGTCCTCATCGTAGAGGGCATCAAAGAACATCCGCAGCAGGTCTGGGTTGGGGGGGACAAAGGGGAATTTGCTATCCTCCAGGCACCAGCCACCCTGCTGGGGTGGGGACACATTTGCCACCTCCTCCTCAACCCACCCAGACCCACAATACTCACTGGGAGGCTGGTCCAACTTCACCACCAAGGCTTGCAGAGCATAGAGTGCCTGGAGCTCCTTCTGCTCATCCCGCAGGTATTTCTGGAGCAGCTTGGCTTGGTTGCGGATGACCATGGCATCCACACGGTACGGGTTCTCAACTGCAATGGACAGGGTGTGAGAGGGGCA